TATAGGGAGCATGCGCTCGCCAGACAGACAGAGACATACAGACAGAAAGCGAGAAATCACCCCCCCAGGGGGGATGGTCACGCCGCAATCCCTTCTCCATTCCCCTCTTGGGATCTTGGGCACGAACGCACATGCGCCCGGCGTGAGTTTTAAGCCACCGGGTCCGGGACACGAACCGCAGTCGACTACGTGGGAGTCCAGCAACATAGCCATTACGCCAACTGCTGGTTCCCCCATGCGATCACTTTTCATTTTCTGCTACTGCGCTTAGTGTGCCCTATAATGTACGGTGGTGGGGAAACTTTCAGTACTCACTAAGAGACTAAATCGAAGGCCATTCCTCTCATCTCTCATCTCTAGCCATGATTACGATACACAGAAAGTTCTGTGGTCATAGGCATGCACACGCATGTGCAAATGTATGCACACATACACCAGGAGGTCCTGCTCCGCCCTCAGAGAGGCAGCAATCCTACCACATGCAACGGCTGAGCCTTGAGGACAGAAGGTGAGCTACACGGAGCAGCTGCACACGGACAGCACAAGGCACGTGCTCTCACGCGTCAGGTCTGAGAGAGCCGGACTCCGACCACAGAGCGCGGAGGGGAAGGGACGGGCGGTGCTGGCCAGAGCACTCAGACTCTCACGGAGAGATGAGCGAGTCACACCCGCTGAGGCCTGAGGCCAAGGGAGCTCCCACCACATGGCCACCCCTTGGGAGATGTTCTATTTAAACACATCAGCAGCAGCAGCGTTTTCTAAGAAGTCGGCAAACAAGGAGGTAAAACACGCCAGCACCAAGTACGGCCCTTTAGCTGAACGGATGTTAGCTTTACACTCACTCACTACGTGAGCTCTTAGCAGTTCTTTCTCATTACCTTAACACCACTCAAACACTGTAACAGGTGATCATTAAGAACTACTATACCCCAGCATTAACCACGTCTAAAGAAACCTGCATACCAGAATTTGGGAACAACTACAAAAGACTCAGAATAAGCACAAAAAAGTCTTTCCTTCCAGGGAACCAGCAATTAGCATAATGGCTATGTTGCTAGACCCACGTAGTCAACTGCGGTTCACATCCCGGACCCGGTGGCTTAGAACTCACGCCGGGCGCGTGTGCGTGCGTGCCCAAGATCCCGGGAGGAGAATGGAGGAGAAGGGATCGCAGCGTGACCATCCCTCCTGGCGGGTGATTTTTTGCTTTCTGTCTCTATGTCTCTGTCTGTCTGGCAAGCACACGCGCCCTATAGCAAAAACCTCTCCAAAAAAAAAAAAAAAAGTCTTTCCTTCCAGAACAAAGGGAACTGCTCCGAAACCAGCTCAGGCCCAGGAGGAAGCGAGCCTTTTGCATAAGTGTGTGGGCTCTCAGCTACCTCAGCTCTGTGGGACCTCTGCGGCCAGAAAGTGAGACAGAGGCTCCCTCTGCTGACAACAAAGAAACCAAGCCAAGAGGCGGCTGGTCTTTTAAAATTTGTCCAAAACTGATGCGATCTTGAGTGGGTTTGTACTGTCCTTTCAGAGGCGAGTGCTACTCGGGCCTGCGACAGTGGCCATGGGCGAGAGGCCAGGGGCCAGCAGACACAGACATGGACAGAAGGCACGGCCCAGGCAGCACCACCAGCGTGTCCCAGGGGCTCCCCACCAGCTCTCAGGCTGGTTTCCGCTCTCAGGGCCAACAGGGCCACACATCCCTCTGTGACAGGAAATGAAACACGAAAGGCTACAGGGCCGGGGACGAAGGCAACCACGAGCGGGCGCACCTGCGCCTTCCCTGGACAAGGTCCAGCAGGGCAGGGCCGGACTGAGGCTTCAGGCTGAGGCCGCCGGCATTCTGAGCGCTCGCAGTGTGGCCTGCACAGCTCCGCCACCCGGAAGGCAGGAAGAACTGCCTCCTCCCCGGGATAACTACGAATCAGAGGTTCGGAGCCCTGGCAGGGCCCTCGACAGCTCGGCCGGGCCCTGATCTTCACCTCGTGCCTGACAGGACAGATGACCTCTGACCCCGACACCCACCTCACCATGTAACCCTCAGCAGTTCCGTGTGCTGCTCAGTGACAGCATTTCAAGAAAACTGACAAGCTGCGCCTGGGACAGCACTCCAGGCTGCTGGCTGGGCTCCTCGCTCATCGCTTCAAATGACAGCTCAAAGTGAACAAGCTATAAAACAAGCAGATGGACTAGCGAGGAATGCCCACTCTCCCACGAAATCACTGATAAAGTGGGTGTTAAAAGCAGCATTTTAAGATACGTCAATAGGCTGCCAAGAAAAGAGAGCAGAAATTCGGAAGCTAAACACCAAAAGGGATGAGCCTGCGAGCTCAGAAGACCCTGACGTGCTGAGAGCCAGCGACAGCGAGGCTCAGCGGCCAGTCACGGCGGCTCGGGGACAGAGCACTCAGGCCCACCTGACCTGAGAGGCCTGCAGACCCGGCCTGGCCTGCACACGCCAGCGCCAGGTGGGACCACAAAGAGCTCTGCCTTAACGTGGGAGGACTGAGGAACAGCACTGCTCAGGCCAGGAGAACTGAGGAGCAGCACCCCTCGGGCCAGGAGAACTGAGGAGCAGCACCCCTCGGGCCAGGAGAACTGAGGAACAGCACCCTTCGGGCCAGGAGAACTGAGGAGCAGCACCCCTCGGGCCAGGAGAACTGAGGAACAGCACCGCTCAGGCCAGGAGAACTGAGGAACAGCACCCCGTTAGGCCAGAACTGAGGAACAACACCCTGTTAGGCCAGAACTGAGGAACAGCACCTCCTCAGGCCAGGAGAACTGAGGAACAGCACCACCACAGGCCCAAGAGAAGCAAATAAAATGTGCATCTCAAAACCTGGAACCAGATTAAGGAAAATAGTCTTTCTAAGTATTCACAAACCCAGGCTTATTTTAATGGGTTTGTAACTCAGTCCACTCTGCTGGGTGCCCCAAGAACACTGTCTGTGAGTTTAGTACGACATGACACTGGGTTGGAAGTACCGTGAAACGCCCGACAAAAGAAACTCAAGTCTTCCAAGGAACATGCCAATCATTTCCATAAATAAAATTAACAAATCACTATGTCCAAGGAAGAGACACCAACAGTAACAGAAAGCAGAATGAGGGAACCAGCAGTTAGCGTAATGGCTATGTCACTGGACTCCCACGTAGTCGACCGCGGCTCATGTCCCGGACCCGGTGGCTTAAAACTCACACTGGGCGTGTGTGCGTGTGTGCCCAAGATCCCAAGAGGAGAATGGAGAAAAAGGGACTGTGGCGTGACCATCCCCCCTGGGGGGTGATTTCTCGCTTTCTGTCTCTATGTCTCTCTCTGTCTGTCTGGTGAGCGCATGCGCCCTATAGCAAAAACCTCTCCAAAATAAATAAATAAATAAATAAATAAACAGAAAGCAGAATGACAACTAAGATGTCGCATACTGACCTAGCCACAGAGAAGACAAAAATGCCACACTCGCCTGGCTTAAAGAGATAAAACCAAGTATTAAAAATAGGACCAAGAGGGGACCAGCAGGTGTCATGATGGTTACGTTGCTGGACTCCCAAATAGCCAACCACAGTTCGAGTACTGGACCCAGTGACTTAAAATTCACACCAGGTGTGTGTGCGTGCGTGCCAAAGATCACAAAAGGAGAATGGAGGAGAAGGGACTGCAGTATAGCCAACCCCCCAAGGCGTGATTTCTCGCTTTCTGTCTCTGTGTCACCCTCTGTGT